CTATGAAGTACAATACCAGTGTCTGGTGCATATATCGTCCTAAATGTTCAAGTTATATGTACCGCACGCACGGAAACACACAGTGGAGTCTTGGTGTTCGTCTGATGACAGATAGCTATACTTCGAGTCTTCGACATAATCATTCTTGATCGTTGAGTTTCAGCAATGTAAATTAAAGGAATTTTACAGTCCATAACGGGTTTTAATTAATCCTGTGCTTTCACAGTCAAGATAGGCAGATAGCACTATTGTTTACACACAGTTAGTGATGTTTGGGAAATCTTCCATTATAAAATAAATCCTTTGGCTTTGTTGAATATCGGACAGGATACACTTCAACCATAAACAACCATATCGTTCATTTAGTATCGTTTGATCGATCAGTCGATATAGAATTGGGAAGACATATATGTTTCTACGGCGATGCGTGCTCAACTTCGCAAGCCAGGCGCGTGTGAGGTCCTTGGAAGTGAAATGTGATCCAGCCTCTTGCTTGAAATGTACCGCAACACTTATAATTGATGACATTCAGTATAGCAGGAAGTTGTGTCATGATGAATACGAATTTAAAACTGTTCCTTTCACGATTTCTTGTTGCAAATTACATTTTTATCACCCGAAACTATAACACATAAAATTGCAATTTTCCAAACGCAACAAACAGACTCCTCTACCACCCCTCCCTGAGATCAATTCAATTTACCACGCAGAATCTGCGGGGTCACGTGACCAGCCCCGACCAGGGTCTTTGCTTCACAAGAGCAAAGAGCCTGGGAACGAGGTTGGTTAAGCTATACGTTTACACGCTGCGATTTGTCATGTACGATTCGTATTCTAGATATACGTATTTCAAATTTCGCCATTAGATAATCTTAATAAACGGGAATTGTGGCGTCAACAGTAAATTTCATACGCCAGAATATATGAATCGTATACACGAGAAATCGCAGCGTGTAAACGTAGCTTTAACCAGGAAAATTTCAACCAGGATGTTTTTAGAGTGTAACGTTGTACTATACCCTCAAAGGTTCGAAAACATCGAATATTCACGCTTTTACCAAAGGTATGACATGCCTCAACAGCGAAACGCGAAAGTAAATACACTCTAAAAACACCTGGTTAATTTAGGATATATCCACAGGCCTGGCTATAATTTAACCAGGTTATACATGGTTAAAGTAACTTAGTTAAATTAGCTATAGGACTATGATCATAAGTTAACTCAAACAAAGTTCATTTTAGGTTAACCAGAAAATATTTTAACTATGGGGTGTTTTTAGAGTGTATCTGTTACAGAAGTTACTGTGTCATGTACCGTATAGATTGAGAAGAATGTACGATTTCGTTGCTAACTGCGTTCTCTGTTACGTCGTCCAATTTAATTTAATTTTATCGTATATTTTCTTCCAGGGTCTGAAGTTAAAATACCACATGGAATTAACTAATGGCGAATCATTCTGGAGAAAACATTTCTCTGCAGACGAACAATGTAAGTATTTTATTTCGTTAAATAATTTAACCTTTCTGCAGAGTTTACGACAGGCCAGAAGTGGAATGGTATCGGAACCGGGTACCTGGGAACCTAGTTCCCAGAAAATGTTTAGGATGTACATTTTTGCAGAAATTTTCAAATACATTTATTTTATGTTTGATAGTATTCTGAAAATTAGACCGATTGAATATCTAAGTTACTAAATACCTGATGATTGAAAAGATCGTATACCTAATTAATGTACTAATTTGATACCTAAATTACAGTGGAACAGTTATAATATATACTGCATGTAACCTGGACTAGAAAATTTGTTTAATCCTGTAAGACTGTAACTACTATATCATGGTTTTATATAGGATTTATTATTGCTTCACACGACAACACTAAAATATAATCATAAATGAAAATTTTGTTATTTTTCTTTACTGTATATATTGCAACCTTTTACAGAAAATTTTGAGCCATAAGCCCAGGTTCCCAGAGTTCCATCTCTTCCACAAGCAGCTAGTAGCCTACCCAAACAGGGAATGTGAAAAGTGCTGATTTCCAACATTGCGCATCATGCATGGATGTGTCGTCATCCTTTCTTGGTGATGTTTATTCAATATTTATGAAGAACAATCATCCATCATTCCTAGTACAAATTGCTCAAGACATGTATTTTCGTATTTTTTATTGTGGACAATGGGATGCAATTACTCTCTTATAAAAGGGTGAATTTTTGCATAAATTTGTGGGATATGAGATATTCACCACGCAAAACAATTAAGCTTTTAAGTAGGCCTACTAGATAAAACATGAGCAACCGATCTGTATCTGATATACAAACTCCAGCCGAAGGCGAGAGTTTGTATATCAGATACAGATCGGATGCGAATGCTTTATCGTACTTAAAAAATAATCCATCTTATGAGTTCATTGGCGAAGTAATTTTAAAAATAAACATTGTCTAAGCCGAGAAAATCAAAGCTGAGGTTTATGTAAATCAGGACAAATCTTTATCCGATTTACAAACATTGATTAAACATTCATTTCTTTTGTATTTTCCTCGTGAATTATTAATGAATTTTTTAAATACATTTATAATTTAAACGCGCGTCCCAAAAGTGTTAACACGAACTCAACTGACACAAACAACACGAAGTCATGAGTGTAGATCTCTAGTAGCTTAAAAAAGCTATGTACACATACAAAACAATATCACGATAGTCTTTGACAATAACGATAATTACGGTATATTTCTTCGCTCACGTTTCTGGCTTCGATACAATAATCATGAGTAAAAATATCGCGATAATATCGAAATATCGCCCAACTCTATCACGAACTTTATTAAAGAGTTCGGGACTTCGGCGGTTCGGGACTTTGACAAGCTTTTAAGACGGCTGTCAATGATCATGTCGACTGTTAAAAAGCGTTATCCGAAGTAGGGAAAGAAGATCTTCACAAAAAGGCATTAGAAAGGTTTTCGGAAAACTGCGAATACTGGGATAAAAATTTCTGCGCGTCAGACAAACATAATTTCGAGTTGCTTGCACCGCACGGGACCTATCAGCCGAAAGTTGAGATGAACGGATTGTCAACAATGTTAATTTGAAGACGAAAGTTAAAAAGAAACCGAGCAAACGATACTCGATAGAAAATTACTATATGCCGATGCCACTGAAGAACCCGCGCATTTAAACACGTGGAAAGTAGCCTGCTCATGCAGCACCTCCACCCGATAATTTGAATTCGAGCTGCGAGCAGGCTAGTGGTGAGTATCTCACTTCATATTCGCCGGATGTGACGCGAAAGTGATGACACTGATTGTTACTGGTGACCCTGGCGGTTTACGAAAGGAAAAAAAAAACCCCAAAACGGCGGTTCTATGGTTCTATGTCCCAAGGTACCACTCTACACCTAAGGGTTCTGAGAGCGGTTCTCGGTGAAAATTTGGAGCCCTTCAAATTGTTTTTTTGAGATTTCGTCATATTATCCAAAATATTTGACCAAGAATATCGCGTAAACGTTTATAGGTTTGTAAGCGTGAAACCTTTCCATTGCCATTTCCGCTGCGGTAAGAAGAAAATGACTTCAATAAACAACCGACGATTGTTTACGGTAAAATTAGCCGGGTGCTTGCTTCTTTTGGGAACCCTGTGGAAATAAATTTTTGAGTGGAAATTTTATACATTTTTTTATTTTGTTAGACCTAACCAGGAGCAGTTGCGAAAATATGCAACTGAGATACTCTAGCACGAATCAAACCTGACAGTGTATATTATATAATACCTTATTAAATTATAATCGTTTAATTGGCTGCTTATGGTCACGTGATATTGAATAGAAAATTCCATTTCCCAAGAGTGCAATGGAACGCGTTCCATTGCACTCTCCGCGAGTGCAATGGAATAAAACGTATAGTACAATTGCACTCTTTGTGTTTTCGATAAATCGCATCCCTCAAAATGCTTCTCATACGAATCTATTAGTCTGTTCTGGACTTTTGGTATTATATAAAACAAATAATGAATGTTTCTTCGTGCAATGGTAAGAATATTTTCATTCGGTCAAAGATGGAATGTTCCATTCAACTCGGCTGTCGCCTCGTTGAATGGAACATTCCATCTTTCACCTCATGAAAATATTCTTACCATTGCACTCATAAACATTCATTATTTGTATAATATACACTTAATGTCTGCACGCGAGGGAAATAGTTAGTTTTGTTTTCCCGAGAATCTCAATGTTTCCCGAGACGAAGTCGAGGGAAACATTGAGATTCGAGGGAAAACAAAACTAACTATTTCCCGAGGGAAAAGACGTTAAGTGTTTTGTTATATAGCGATGAAACAAATATCAACATTGAACAACATTCATACAACAATATTTGTATTTCATGACAAAAACTCTATAGCGTAAACGAGTTTAAAATTTAAAAAACCTACTTAAATGGTTTCAGCAGCATATCCTGTTGCCTGTTATGTATTTTTCTTCTCTTTCACATTCTTTATTTTAACACAAAGCCACGAAAACAGTAGTTTAAATTGTATAAATTTGTGCCGCCATTTTGTTTATTTATGTACGTAGCCGGTCGGGGCGGGCAACAATTTTTCACTTATTGCCCGGGCGGGGTACATTGCATTTATCTAAAGCCACGTGACTACAAATCAGCCAATCACGTTTGGTGTTCACACTAGCTATATAACAATTGTATATGTTAACGCTACAACTCGACAACATGGTATAATCCCTGGACAACAAACACCCATATAAGCCAGCCTAGTCCCTGGCGTTCCAAGCGCGGGCGAGTTACAGGCTGTCATGAACTTGCAGGCTGTCAGTTTCGCAAGATATCCGAACAGCTTTATCCCGGTCAACCTGCAAACCTTGTCGATTTCCCCCTAAAATAATGAGGCGGAAGCGAGAAGGCCAGGAACTAGGCTACATATAAGCGTAGATACACTTGGTACATACTCCAACATTGACGGCTAAAACTCCGCCTGAAATCGTTTGCTTCCACGATACAGTACACCTGCATGTAAATAACTATATAGTATCAAGTTTGTTCGCTAATATTCCGTATTTTTTTCATTTCAGACATTTTAGAAACCGATATTGGTTTTTTGGTAGCATTTACCACTCTTTTTACCCTAGCTGTAATTGAAGCCAGTAAGTTTATCACTTTGATACTACAATCTTTACCCACTAAGTGTATTTTTATCATTTATTAACGAGTCAGATAAGGTCAGTGCCGGGTTTTACACCAATGGCTGCCTAGAATTGCATGTTTTTTAATTCACTGGTGAGCCAATTTCAGGGTCTGAAATTTCAAATATTTTTGAATACCCACCTGGGATACCTGCATGGATTCAAAGTTTTCGTTATATTTTACAGAGAATTTGCATACCACATTTGGTTACTAGTTATCATACTGTACACATGACTCTCGTTGTAAATCGCAATAACAACGCAATCAACAACTAAACAGTAACCAATTTGGTATATTCTTGAACTGTCTGCACAGCAAAAAATCACTTTCTTATTTTAAGAAAAAAAAAACTTATTTTAAGAAAATTTTCTTAAAATAAGTCCAAATTTTCTTGGGAGACTGGTAAGAAAATTTTCTTACTAATTTTCTTAAGAATTTTTTTCTTAAGAAAATCA